CTGCCTGTCCCGGCACACAGCCACCATGACCAGCAGGTTCCCCAGGATGGCCATCAGTATAACGGCGGAGATGAAGGTGAGCAGCACGATCTTCTCCGCTACGCCGAAGCCCTCACTCGAACTGGGGGGCACACAAAACAGAGGAAAAGAAAAGAAACCTGCAGAGGCAGTGGGAGGGGAATCCCGGGCAACATCCAGATGCCATGCACCAGCACCCGCTTCGGCGAGCGCGACGCAGCATCCCCGCGTCCATCACTGCAAGGCAGCCTTCCCACCCAGACCCTGAGGCATTTCGTGCGATGGGAAAGGTGTGGGGCGTGCGTTCATCGCAGGAGGGCTACAGGGGGGGAGTACCTGCAGCACCTGCGGCCACCCACCTCACCCGGGGTGGGAAAGCTGCCCCGTACCGCCGAGAGCTGGATTGCCCTGTGCCTGATTTCTGCAAGTCCCTTCCCATTCGGAGCCTCTGGATGAAAAGGTTTTCATTCAGTCTTCACCTCAATAAATAATGTTATTACCTATGTGGAAATAATTTGGTTTTTCCTTTTTTCTCAAGGTTCTCCTCAAGTGCATTTTACATCTCGGATTTCGAACCCTTCAATGTAATCACTTCCCTTGTTCTCTCTTCCCTTCACTCTGTCCCAGAAGAAGAGGCAGTCTGGCTTTTTATTTTTCTTTTCACTTGGCAACCTTTGCAGAATTATGAAACTTTTTTTTTTTTTAAAAGGAAGTGCCTAATTTCCCCATATCCTGACATCGGTAATTTCTTTCAGTTAATAAAGAGAAATAAAAGAAAAAGCAAGGACAACATGAAAATACAATACTGGACATATTTTAAGCCTTCATTTCTACAAATATCTTGACTCAAAAATAATTCCCTTTTTTTTTCCAAGCCTGCAAAACAGGAAGGTAATAATCAGCATGCAATAAACACTGCTCATTTACTCATCAAACTAGTTTTAATACAAAATTCTCAAACCACTCTTCCTTTTAGGCTATTGCTAATTATGTATCCAGAACAAATTGCATCCTAATCTTTCGCCTGCTTGTGTAGCTTTCTCTATTTCATTACACAGGTGAGAATGGCTGTTTGTTCATGTTATCAAGTGTGGGTAGAAATAAACTGGCATTAAGAGCAGCACTTGACACTAATTCAGCAGGGAAATTTCCTCACAGCGTACGGAGCTGGTATTCAGCACCCAGGATTAATGTTGTGAGATTGTTCAGGTAATTGAAAAATTGAACTGTTATTCTGTTTTACTTTGACTTCCTCTGGGGTCATTTTTTATTTACTAAATACATTCCAGTCTTTTACACTTTATCTCACTGAATTCTCCTGATTTTGACAAAGCTAAAAAAGATTAGAGACTGAAGCCCTGTCTCTGCTACCTGGGCCATTTTAATAAGCTTCTAGCAACTGACTTCACCCTGAACCTGCACTGTGGAACATCCATTTAATCACAATCTCCATTTTTGCCCCTAAAAACGATGCCGCTCTGCGTGTGACTTTTTTGCTCGCTGCCAGTTGCACCTGTGGGTCAGACGGCAGCCTTTTGAAGTTGGGCTCTTCACACCGAGTATGAAAAACCTCTTAGGAATTCCTTGATTTCCAGTGATTTACAAGGAAATACATCACTGGGCACAGATTCATCCAGAGGACTGAGGATGTTTACGACCAAAGAAAGAAGAGGAAAGGAGATGCCCTGGCCTCACACTAGTTTCATGGAAAAACACAGCAACAGGCAGATATACGCAGGCTCAAAAACAAGTGCAATGCTCTGCCAATAATAAGAGAGAGGTCCAAGGCAACCGCGTATCCTAGCTTCCTAAATGTATGTCCATATGCCAAGCAGTGCTTTTTCACCTCTGAGAGCACAGGTAGCTTTTAATTCGAGATAACCTCCTGTGTTAAAACCAGATGAATAAATGTCAGGTAGAGTGGACAGTACAGTATATCCCACCTCTCTACAAGGCTTTTGGGCAAAAAGCCCCTGAGCGCTGCCAGGCACGTGGAGGTGGGTTGTTGGGGTACCACTGTACCAGGAGAGGGGGTACGGGTGGCTGAGGGCAAAGGATAAGCATGTGGGATTCGTCTTGCGTGGGAACGAATGGTCCCAGCCTAGGTGGCAAAGGCATGAGTGCTTCTTTTTCTCGGCTGGTTTCCAG